TAGGGGCCGGGGTCGGCGCGGAGCCTTCTTGCCCTTCTTCTGCAGCCGTCGACATTTTTTTTCCTTTCTTTTTTGCAATTTTGAACATTTTGCAAGAGGGGCTTGAGGCAGGTCAGAGCATCCTGCGCGTCGCCGGGGAGCCTGCGGACACTTGGCGCGCTCTTCTGGGACCGTCTGCGCTGGAAACCCGAAAGTTTTTTTTTAATATGTATATTTTTATGCAGATGTATTTATAAAGATATAAGTAATTTTTTTTTCTTCCCTTGAAGAAAAGGTGTCTCCAACGCCTTGAAAGCGAGTACTTTTGGCACAGGACGGAAAAAAGCTCAGCGACATTTTGGGGGGGGCGGTTGTTTCTTTTTTCTTTTTTAAGGAAAAAAAAAATTGAGTGCATCGCGATGGAGAAAATGTCCCGACCGCTTCCCCTGAATCCCACCTTTATCCCGCCTCCCTACGGCGTGCTCAGGTCCCTGCTGGAGAACCCGCTGAAGCTCCCCCTTCACCACGAAGACGGTGAGCGCTGCCGCGGCCGCCGCCGCTGCTTCCCTCCCAGTGGCCCGCTCGAGGAAGGGACGGCGCTCCCGGGGTCCCCCTTCTGGGCCGGGCACGCCCGCCGGAGCATCCCTCCCCGTCCCTCCCTGTCCCACGGCGCCCCGGTCCTGCTCTGATGAAATTGAGGGGCTCACCCGTCACCCTTCCTCCTCCTCTTCTGTAAAAAGGGAGGGATCCCTCCTGAGCAACATTTAAAATAGCGCTGGGACCGGCCCAGCCTCTGGGTTCCTCCTGCGTGCGGGTGGGAGGTATCACTTGACAGGTCAGGGTTGTTCCCCGGAATGAGGCACACCCGCACGCGGAGCGAAACCTGCAGAGCCTCCCGCAGGGCTAGGGAGGAGAAACCCGGGGGCCTGGTTCTGTGGGGGGTCACGGGGCGGGGAGCGGCTCCAGTGAGGGGGTCTCACTGCGCAGCCTGGGTATTGGGATTGTTATAGTTTTTGCTATTCGGAACTCACGAGGAGTGAGCGGAGACGCGCTTTCTCCCGGTGCAAGGTAGTTGGGAGAGGGGATTGGGGACTGGGGCTGGTGGGGGAGTGGTCTCTCGGCGGGAAGCCGTGCACGCCTCCAGCGCTGACACTTCTCGGTGCACTTTTCCTGGTGGGAGGGGAGAGCGGAGCAGGCTCACGTGTAACCGCGCAGGAGTCTCCTCTGGCTCGAGTCCTTTCTTGGTAAGTCCCAAACCTCCCAAGGCAACCTTGGCCGTGTCGAGAGAGGAGGGGTACGGAGACCCGGTGCCAAACCGAGCGGGTGCCGTCGCGGATTTGTCATTTGGGCTGATGCGGTTCCATGCTTTCGGTATCACAGTGACAAATGCGAACTGTGAGGCTCAGAGTGCAGAGTCTCGAAAGATTATTTGGCTACAAACACCTTGGGAGTAACGCAGCGTCTTCTTTCCTAAATAAAATAGTAGGGACAGCCTGTTGCATTGCAAGAGTTGGAAGTCTTATCAGAGCCCCCTCTCCTTTAGTTCTACTTTAAGGGATGGCGATTGCAAGGAAGGGGCTGTCTGCAGGCTTTTGCGTCTGTGGGTGTTTTAAATCAGATTCTCAGATGAGACTAGTGGGTTAGAATGGATGGCAGTGGAGGCTGTGTTTCTCTGAAGATGAAACTCAGAAGCAAATTCCTTAATCCCAGATTCCACCCACGCCTGAGTACTAGAATTGGCAAAATCCAGTACACCTCTTAAAGACCTAATCGGGTGAGCAATATTTCCAGGTAGAAAATATCTTCATACTTCCATCATAGGTATGTGGAATAACTGACCTTTTCCGATAGCTGTGTGTTTAGCAGGTTTCGTAAGTGTATATTATTTGTAAATGGGATCATACTCAATTGTTTGAGGAAGAGGTGGAAGAAAACACTTTGGCTTTTTTTTTTTTTTTAAACTCCTTTTGTAAAAATTAATGTGCCCCAGCAGCTTTAGAAGCAAACACATGTGGGCTCAGAAAGTTCTCATTTTTTTTCTCTGTCAATGTAAGGCATTAGTCAACTCCCTTCAAGCCTCAGAACCTCCATGTCTTGTTGTAAATGGGGATAATGACTGTTTTTCAAGTTTATTTTGAGATAATATATAGAAAGAATCAGGTATCCAAAAGATGTTCAATTCATGGTGTTGAAGGGTGGAAACTCCCTGCTTTATTAGCACCTGGCTTTGTAAACTGAATGATTTCATATTGTTACTGTGATGAATTTCCTGGAAGATAAATCAAGTCAGGTTATTGGCTGTTTTCTTAAATATCACAGCAGCTGTATGTAATTGCAAGTGTTACTTTCTCATTTTAGATTTAAATTATTAGTCTCCTCCAATAATGCACTGAGAATGTTCTCTTGTTTTCATCCTAGATCACCCAGTCGCCCTACCCCAAGGACTAGTGCTTTCTTCCCAAAGTAAATAGGAAGATGTTGAAAAACAGACAGAGATCCACTTCCTGTCTGAACTTTTAACTTTAGATCCACCAAAGACAGTAGCCAGAGAAAGAACCTAACATTCGTGAGAAGCGGTTTTATAACAGGCCAGGAAAAGTGGTAAAAGAACAATAGTTTTCCTTTTCTTTCCTTTTTTTAAAAGTCTGGCTTTTCCTTCTTCTGCAGCATTTAGTAAAGATAAAGACAAGGAAAAGAAGCTGGATGATGAGAGTAACAGCCCGACCGTCCCCCAGTCTGCGTTCCTGGGGCCCACCTTATGGGACAAAACCCTTCCCTATGACGGAGATACTTTCCAGTTGGAATACATGGACCTGGAGGAGTTTTTGTCGGAAAATGGCATTCCCCCCAGCCCCTCTCAGCATGACCACAGCCCCCACCCTCCTGGGCTGCAGCCAGCTTCCTCAGCTGCCCCCTCGGTCATGGACCTCAGCAGCCGGGCCTCTGCACCCATTCACCCTGGCATCCCGTCTCCAAACTGTATGCAGAGCCCCATCAGACCAGGTAAGCTCTCCGAAGGTTCTCCCTTCAGAAGGAGAGGAAGGTGAATGGGATGCACAAGGTGGATACAGCATAAGCATCTTAACACTCAGGGAGGTTTTAGACATCCTGAGAGAGGAGGAACCTCTCTCCCACAGAGGAGGCTCTCTCACTTCCAAGTGCATCCATATCACTCATCTGGAGAGTTAGTTAAATACGGATCCTATGTATCTACCCCTAGAAATTCTGATTTTCCAGGTCTGGGCGTGAGGGCCCAGGAATATGTATTTTTAACCAGCTCCTCATGGGATTCTGATACAGTTCATCTAAGGACTGCATTCTAACCTACAGTTAATGATTTGGATAATTTAAGCATCCATCGTATTCCCTTTCTCTTTTCCTCATTCCCTAAATGCACAGGTGATAGGAACTTGCTGAATAATTTGGGTAGGTTTTAAAAACCAAACTACATTCATTCTTCTCTGGCCTAAAAGGAAAAAAAAAATGTGAATAAGGATGTGGAGCAGATATATTTTTTTTTCACCGCTTTCATCTTGCTTTATCTTTAACTGAGAAATAGAGACTAAAAGCAGGCTCTTATATTGTGTGCCTTAGTCTTCTTCAGGCACCAGACCCTCTCTCTCTCTCTCTCTCATCGCTATACCTATAAACCAAACTGTTCCTACTTTTTTTTCATTGTTATCAATCTATTACACTCAATGTACCTTTATCAAAACCCACAAGACTACAAGGTCATCTGTAAATGATGCTGAAATATTATACAAAAATATCACCTGAAATGACCAGTACTTCAAAACCCGCTGCTAAATGCTCAAATATAAACACAGATTGAGGCAGCTCTAGATTCAGGCCTTTTGCACCCTGTAGTACAAAACGAACAGGAAGAAAGATTATTTCATGTGCACAGGTATCCAGGAACAAAGATTCGGCCAGATAAATCATTGGGAAGGTCACAGAGCTGAGGGCCTTAGCTGTGTGGGAAGACAAAAAAACAGGACAATGCGAGACTTGTGCTAGGGATTGTTACTGAACTTTGTGTTCTCAACTCTTGTAGAAATTTCTGTGGCACACAGAGCAAGATTTAAATGGAAGAAAATGATGCAAAGGAGGAAGAGAACACCCCCGAGTTAAAGTTCTTCCTTTCAAATCTCTCTGTGCTGGCCTCTTCTCCAAAATTCACTTTGAATGATAACTCAAGGCCACTGGCTGGAATAAATCTTAACCTCTGGCCACCCTTGGAGGCTGCAGGAAACACTCCTTTATGTGAACCTGTGCCCCTGCTACTTAGATTATACAGTGCCATTGTCTTCAGTTTCTTTACAAGAACAGACAACCAGCAAAGTAAATAATGCTTCAAACTGGAAAAGCAACGAGGGGAGAAGGACATAGAACTCCAGTGAGAAAGCACAGTTGTGCCTCAGTCATTCCACTCCGCAGAGTGTAACTTACCACTTCATAGCTGTGACCTTAGAAAGTGAAATAACTTCTTGAAACCTCAGTTTTCCTTTTTGAAGAAGGGTATAATTTCTACATGATTCAGTTATTGTGAAAATTATAGATAATATGTATAAAAGGTCAAATGACTAATAATGGGTATTCTATTAATGAGAGCATTGTGATCATTATTATGTCTGTGTCAGCTTTTATTATTTATTTCAATTCCTGTCTTCTGAAATACCTTCTTGAAGTAATTAAGTCCAGCATAAAACTCTTTTCTTTAAGACAAATATCAGGAGGTTTTGTTCAGTAGTTATTGGATGGAATTGTTTTGATCCTAACACTTATAATCAGTTGACAAGTATTTCTCAATCTCTTACCAAACATAGGAAGTATACCGTGTTAGGGATACTAACCAGCAATACTCTCAAGAGACATGCAGATATTTAGTGTCCATACTTTGGTTTCTTCTGAGTGTCAAAAATAGGGGTTTTAGGATTTGAGACTTCTTTCAGAGTCATTTGCCAGACCTCATTAGAGTCAGTATTGGTGAGTGACTGTCAGATACTTGGGATAACCAATCAGAATTGCAATTTGTAGCAAAGAACTCCTGAGTTTCAGAGGATATTGTCTTACTAGGTAACAGTGGAAAGGCACTGGGATCAAAGGGGAAACTGAGGGTCTGGAAATAAGCTGTTCATTTAAATATCTTTTTTAAATAATGAAAATACACTTAAAAATAATTTTCTTCTTTGCATTGAAAAGTCAGTGATAGTTCTCACAGAAAATTTTTAAAAAGTTAAAGCTCCTCTTCAAATGCCAAACTCAGGTAAAAGAACGCTCAGATATTCTTACAGTGTTGATCATTATAAGGATTATAATGCAAAATAAAATTCTAGAGGATGCTAACTTGATGGACATATATTGCAAGCAAATTTGAAAAAGGAGAACATTCTTGATTATTCTGTGTGGCTCACAGGAGTGACCAGAATAGAAGTACCAAGTTAATCTTGAAGAAAGTAAGTCCTCAGAAGGGAAGAGCACAGATGTAGCCTTGAGCATTCTGGGAATTGTATAATTTCAGTCTGGATCAGATTTCTCAACCTTGGCACTACTAATGTTTTGGGTAAGTCTTGTTGTGGGACATGGCCCTGTCCATTGTAGGTTGTTTAGCAGCACCCCTGCGTCTACCTCTTATATATCAATAGTGCCGCCTTTCCTAACTGCGATGAGTAAAAATGTTCCAGTTACTGCCAGCTGTCCCCTGGGCATAAAATCTCTCCCAGCTGAGACCCACTGGTCTAGACCTTCAACTTAGACAAGAAAATCTGGACTTCATTCAGGATCCCATTACACGAATGAATGCTTTTTACCTTCTGTAATGCTGTATGGAAAAACTTTAAAGAAGGTCGTCAGACATTAGGTTGCCAAGAAGAAATAGAATATTAATAGGAATGTAATTATACACTTTTAGTTGATAAAACTAAGCCATCAGGCTAATCAGGAGATAATTGCAGAGCAATTTACCAGACAATTGTTTTCGGCTCTTTGCCCAGCATGCATCTTTTGAGTTATGCCTAGGAATTGTGTTGTTAGTGATACCTATTGGGTTGAAAAGCAATGAAGTTATGAACGGACAAATTAGGGGTTTCTAGGTCTACCCCAAGAAGGTCTTGGAATGATAAAGTGAACATTCTTGTGAATTTTCATACTATTTACCATGACTTCCTCACCAACTCCTTTTTCTATTTTATATACCCCATCCCTATTAATTCTATCTGATCAAAGAATGAATCAAATATCTGAAGAAATACAGTTTTCTTTGAAGAAATAATCCAGGAATCGATTGAAACCTGATGTGGTTAAGATGTGATTGCCAACTCTCTGGGCTGACATCTTAATGAGGGGAAGAGTGGTGGTTCTTAGATGCTGAATCTACCTGCAGGGGCTTCTCCATCATCTCAGGTACAGCATCCTGGAGGTTCCCAGGCCTGCAGAGATGGCAGGAGTCATTTTGATGACTTCCATGTTTGCATTTCAGATGCTATCAGAGGTGGTGGGGGGGGTGCTCTCTTGGAGGTATGTGCTGGATACTGGAAAAATAAGAATCTGTTTGCCCTGAGAATTGAGCGATTGCTTTAAGGACGGCCGTCCCTTTAGGGAAAGTCATCTATAGCAGACAAAGGCAGAGTTATTTTTAAATCACATGCTTGTAAAGCCAGATTTGAAATCGTTTCCTCTGGTGGTTTTTCTTTGAATAGCTTGGGGGTGTTCTACCACTGTTAGGCCCATATTCCACTGCGAATTAAGAAGGCTCTCTTTTTAGTTCTGAGCACAGAGACAGCATTATGATGAAGGATGGTTGCAGAGTAAAGTGAAAGCCCTTCCATGTGGTTGTGTGTGGGAAGAGGATGGCATTAGTGGGTGGCACAAGAGGAGCGGGGGTGGGGGAGAACCCATTGTACCTTTGCAATATGGAGTTTGCATTCTGTTTTTGCCAGCCTTTCACTGTGGCAAGGTTTGGGTCTGGAAGGAAAATGCTAGTTGTGGGACAGAAGGGAGGTCTGTTTGGGTGATTCTGGGTTTATGTAAGGCCGTATCGAGGCCAGAGGATTCTCTTGCTTTTCCCAGTATCATGAGATGAAGCTCCTCTTAAGGGCATGCAGTTCATACATCTTCCCATCCAGCAGACCGATGTGTCTGCAGGCTGGGGTGCCTGACTGATAGTTGCTGTGTAGGGGGCACCTCATGGATCTCGGAAGCGCTTCTCATTCATCGGACTCAAGGGGATTCTGAAGGGGAGGAAGTCAGCCTTGTCCTGGGGGCAGGTGGACTTTTTTTTCTTGTTTTCTGTAAGAGTTTATCATCTCTACCAAGCCCTGTAGAGGACAGGCTTGCTGACATTCACAGGACAGTAGTCCTTAGCCTGTCACGGGGGGTATTTGGGGGTAAGTATGGGAAGCAAGGCAGCTTGGTGGTTAGGAGTGTAGGCTCTGGGTTCAGAGACTTGGGTTTACATCATGGACTCACCCTTGGTTTAGGTCCATTTCTTAACCTCTTTAAGCTTCAATTTACTCATCACTAGAATGGAGATTATAAATAGTCCCTCCCTCATGGGGTTTTGGCAGGGTTAAACAAGATATCACATGGCAGAATATGGCAGAGTGTATGGTGCACGAGTGCTCAGTACATGGAGCTGTTGTGCTGCAAGTAGTATGGGGGATGGGAAGGAATGACTGGATTCCCGGCCTTCATTCCCCATTTAGGGATTTGTTCACCCAGTTCCCTTCTCTTTGTAAAAGAATAGGACAGATTTTCTTTTTTCTTCCCTAGAGTGTCCAAAACTTACTCTGTGCAGCCTGTGTGACCTTTCTCTTCCTTCTGACTTGGGACGAATTGCTTCCCTGATGTTAACCCAGCAGCATGGCTTCTGGGTTAGCAACTCCTGTTCTGCCAATGTGGAAACAGCCACCCTCTGGGTACCCAGCCCCCCAGCTCTCATGTGAGCCCTGGCAACCCTGGCTGCCTGCCTGCATGGCCGTGTGCTCCAGGCACGTGGCTGTGCC